GGGGCCGCTGCGCGCGGGGTCAGGGAGGGGTTTGGGTGGGAAAAGGGGTTTTTAAGTTCTTCGAGCCCGAGCGTGAACCCGTGTCCGAGCAGAGCGTCCCATCCCTGTGCCCTCTCCCCGGGGCAGGGCCACCCGCGGGGACCCTCACTCTCATTGCTCCGTGAGGTCCTGTCAAACAGAGGAGGGGAGAGGGTGGGTTTGGGTGGGACATTGGGGATAAATTCTTTGCTGTGAGGGTGGTGAGACCCTGGCCCAGGCTGCCCAGAGCAGCTGTGGCTGCCCCATCCCTGGCAGTGTTGAAGGGCAGGTTGGATGGGGCTTGGAGCAACCTGGTCTGGTGGGAGGTGTCCCTGCCCATGGCAGGGGGGTTCCAACTCATCCTTTAAGTTCCTTTCCAGCTCAATCAGTCTGTGATTCTATGGTTCTATGAAGAAGAGGAACCTTTGCTTCGTGCCTCAAAGACAAGGTACTAGCAGGGGACACATGGCTGGGGGGTTTGAGGTCTCCAAGGGGGTCACAGCCATGGCAAGGCCATCCCCACGTGGTTTGAGCATCTCTCTGCTCTCTGGGGTCTTCAGGTTAAATGTGGATGTGGTAGGAGGTTTTCTTGGTTGAAATGCCCTGAGCTTAGGGATTCTGGGACCACCCTGCTGTGCCCTGCTGTGTACTATGGACTAGGGATGCTGGAGGCTGAGCCCTCAACATCTCTTGTCTTCCTCCTGGCTGTTTTGACGGGTCTGTTATGGGCTGTTTGGGATCTTCTGTCTCATAATCTGGTCTCATAAATCATTGCCAAAAAAAGAGTCCTGCCGTTATCTGTCTCCGTGTGTTTTATGGCTCCAGCTCTGCTCTTCATCTTTGTGTCTCCTTATCTTTAGCTTTGTTCTTTTTTATCTTGGGTTTGCTCTTCATCTTCCCGTTGTCTGGCTGCTTGATGAAACTGGGCACAGTGTAAACCCATTCCTTTAACCCTTCCTCTGCTGGTCCGATGCATCCACGTACAGTCATTTCTGGTCATCCATGTCAATCCATCCATCAGTCAATCCATCTGGCTGCTGATTTGGTGAATTCAGCTTTTTCTGCTTGAGATGCTGGTGGGAACATCTCTGGGCAGCTCGTTGCCACCTCCTTCCTGAGCCAGGAGGGATCCTACCTGCTCAGGAGCAGCATAAGGATGGGGTTATAATTCCCACTGCTCTACCCCTATCCCAGCAGCATGAGAGGGATGAGGCTGAGATTTTCTTTGGGCACTTCATCCTGGCCTGAGGGTGTCTTTTAGTGTGTTTAGAAAAGAAAGGAAAAAAGGAAGTAATATTTTTTTCCCCTCTTTGTTTTGCTCCTAGGTATAAAGCCCTCTGTAATTTTTTTTAGGGGGACTGAGAAGAATGGAGCCTTTCCATGCCTGGAGAGGAGGACAAGGGGGAGAGCTTAGCACCATGCTGCCTGCTTCATTAAGTTTGGGGCAGCATAAGGGCTTATGGCAGCCCTGCCTGCTTGCAGGGTTGGGATGTGGTAATAAACACCAGACCAACAGCTTCAGGGATAAACAAGTTATCTCCCAATAACAGAACGGTAATAAGCACAGATCAGTAGTGCAATTCTCTGGGTCATAATGACAGTGAATCCAGTAATTCAGTAATATGGGGCTGGACTTAATATCTGTGCATGCAAAGACTTACACGACCATGGCTGCCAGGTATGCAGGGAGCAGGATGGGGCTTCTCCTCTGGACAAGCGACTCAGACCACCCAGCCAGGCTTGGGGAATCCCAGATTCCCTGATGGGATCGACCTTTTTAATCGTTGTGTTTCGGAAGCACCATTTGGGCTTGATAACCCATCATCACATCCCACCTCTGCTCCCTTTCTGTCTCGTTTCTATCCTTGGCATCACAGAGCCTGGAGATACCCTGTGGGGCAATGCTAACCTTGCAATGTCACCCTGTTTTTGGTGAGGGAAAGGGTGCAAATATGCAAAGAGGTCATTAAAAGAAGTAAGAAACTGCTCAAAATAAAGATAACAATTGGGTGATGGAATAAGACATTGACAAGGGGAGGATTCCCCTAAAAGGGGTTCCCCACACACAGAATCACTCTGGTTGGAAAAGACCTTGTAAGATCATCAAGTCCATCCATAGCCTGACTCTACCAACCATTAACCTAACTACCTAGTCCAGTGCTTAAACCATGTTCCTCAGCACCACAAATACCTCCAGGACGGTGATCCAACCAGCCTGTTCAGTGTTTGATAACCCTTTCAGTGAAGAAGTTTCTCTTAATATCCAATCTAAGCCTCCCCTTGAGGCAACTTGAGGCCGTTTCCTCTTGTCCTGTTTCTTCTTACTAGTTTTTGTGCCTTCTCCCTCCTCTGCTTCAACCACATTTTGCAAAAGCTCTTCCAGTAGAGATTCAAGGGTAGAGTTTAGTTGACAGCACCTGACAAGCAATGATGGGGGCAGTACAGTTAAAATCACACCCGGGTAGGGGAGTAAAGTTGCAGATCACAGATAAACTGAGGTAGATAAAGTCTGGTTATAAGTAGCATCACGATCTACCAAAGAGCATGAAAGTACAGAACTGCTCCTGCTGCACACAAGTGTGGTCTCTGGGTGCTTACTGGGTGCATTTAGGCTCCCCTGGGGAATTAAGGGATGTCTCAGAGGCTCTAAAGGGATTTCCTTCATACATGAACCCAAGTCCTGGCTCAGGGACACAAGCTTTGACATTTCCTGATCATCAATCAGCCTTTTGTTCAGGTGTGTGTTGACCTCTTCTCCCAAGGAACAAGCTGAAGGACAAGAGGAAATGGCCTCAAGTTGTGCCAGGGGAGGTTTAGATTGGATATTCGGAACAATTTATTCTCTGAAAGGGCTGTCAGGCCCTGGCCCAGGCTGCCCAGGGCAGTGGTGGAGTCCCCATCCCTGGAGGGATTTCAAAACCGTGCAGCTGTGGTGCTGAGGGACATGGTTTAGTGGTGGCCTTGGCAGTGCTGGGGGAATGGTTGGGCATGAGGATCTGAAAGGTCTTTTCCAACCAAAACAATTCTCTGATTCTCTTCCCTACTGACTCTTCTTTGGATCACCCTTGCAGCATTTGGTAACACTGTGTGGTCACCACAATCTAGATGTTCCCATCCATGTCTGTGCTGAGCCTGTGTTGCTCGTGAACGTGTTACCAACATTTCTGTCTGGCAGAGACTGGATTCTTGTCTCTGTGGCTGAACTGGATCTGTGTGTTTGATGCTCTGGAGCAGCCATTGATGTGTCCACTTAAATCTGTGGTGGTGACAGCTTTGCACGTGTTATCTGTATGTCCATGTGGCTTTGCTGGACTTGGGGAAAGAGCCAGTGGTGTTTGGCCATGGGAGGAAGAGGATGACTCAGTTTCCCCATCTCCTG